TCGGAAACCAAGCAGAGATACCAGGCTCAAAAGTTCTTCATCTGTCAATGGTGCCAGTAAAGCCTGCAGTTCATGCCTTTGGTTAATGGCACCATAGTTTGACAGAGCCAATACCGTAAGCTTCTCTCTGAAATGTTTTAGAGCGATGCGTTGCAACTTCGCGAGTGACGCGCAATGTTTGTCGTATGCCTCTGTTATGCTATACTGGGCGCCTGTCTGGTCATTGATATCAAAGAACGTAAAATGGGAAAGCAACGTCTGAAGATCGCGAAGAAGAGTATTCTCCTCGTCATTAAACATTGGTGATAGTCGCATAGCAGGAACAACATGAAGATCCTGGATCAAGGTATTGACATATCGTCTAGTTGGAAGCTGGCCCTGGAGGTCGGTAAGGAACTCAGTGAAACGCTCACAGTAGAGAACTTGGTCTAAAAACATGTTGTCAGTGGGATGTCGCAGGAGGTTAGGAGGCTAACGTATTTACGTACCCGCCTTTCTGTTCTCCGTATACAGCAGACTCAAAAAGTCAAGGAGAAGTGTATAAAGCCAAGATCGCTCGAACCGTAGTCGTGCTTTATTAGGCTCATCAGCGGCATCATATCGCTTGTGCGCGGCCTTCCAGGCTTTTCGTAGATGAGGGAGTTGATCGAGACTAGCTTCGCGCGATGAATCGGTGGACAAGTTGTGCCAAATACCAATCGATACAAGAGGAGCACATTCTTTGCGGACGAGAGTGCAGTCGAGACTCTGGAAAGCATATATAAGGAAGCAGAGAAGTTGAGTCCGGAGGGTAACGGAGAGCGTTCGATCGAGCATCATCGACAAGAGTCGGCGGAAAAGTGAAGAGAAATCAGCGGGTCGGTCCTCGAAGAGTGCTGACAATAATTAGTTATCGGTCTGGGAGCAACTAATGGCGACTCACTCCATGTCGCGAGATGTTCTCGATGTTTCACGTTTGCGATGAGCGCAATCAACAGAACGTGAAAGTTAGAAGCTTCCTCTGTGTATCCCGGCCATAGATAACTAAAAAGAAGAAAACCTGCAGTCAGTATTTGATGTCCAATTCCTCGGGATTCTGACAGTCATACCTCTCCAAAGTCTGCAGGCTCTCAAGAAGCAAAAGAGACTTGTACTGGAAGCCCTCGCGTTCGAGTACATCCCAGATACTCTGTTTGAGAACATCGTTCTTCACCTTGGGCTTCGCTGGCTTCTTGCCAGCTTTCAACCAATGCTTCCGCGCCAGTTGGACGAACTGATGTTCCTCCTCCTCCACCTCGGCTGGGGTTGGTCGTCCATCGTTGACTTTTGGCTTTGGTTCGTTCTGCTTCTGCGCCTTGGCAGCGCCGCTGCCCTTGAGTCGCTTCACTGTTGGCATTGTGGCACTATCGTGTCGTCATGAGCCTCTTGGGTAGTTCGCGAAAGTTCGCTCATGAGATGAAGCGGCAGAGCCAAAGAGTCGCGTGACCGATGATAAGTTCGAAGGACGAAGCTGAACTTTGGAAGCTTGCACCTTGTATGTCTAAAAGTAACCTGCGCCTCTCAAACAAACCGTCTCCAAAATTTCAGCCTCGCAGACCCACGCGACGCGCTGACTGGGTCCAGCCACAGGCAAAGTAGCTCCAATGATTAGATACTTGATCCCCAACGTGATTTTGGACATTCTATAGGTTTCGATTTCTTGAGGTACTTTAGTGTTGCTCCCACGCTGTCTCAGCCTTCTCGCTTTAAACATATAATCCAAGCTCAACTGCGTGCCCATTCATCAACTTGATCAAAGAAAACAAAACTTCACCTTTTTTCTCACACCAGCGAATCATTCTCACCGTTTACGAAATATCTAAGAACTACTTTGCGATTCGATATTTGCACCGCAGCGCATAAATACGACTATTGGTACCCTTCGCTCCATGATAGCCTCGACGAACTTTCATTCACAACGACTCCTCTAGTCGCGCATCATGGCCGCGCAAGAGATAGAGAATCCAGCTGCGCCGGCGATCGCAGCTTTCACAACTTTGCTAGAAGAGTTTCTGTCCCAAGCAGAGACCGCCAAGCAAACATCGGCGATTGAACCAGCGTTGCGCAAGTCCGATTTCGACGACCTCTCAGGCCGAGTATCCACAACCGCAGCCAACGTTTCTAGTCCAGCTGCTGAAGGCGCTACGTTAACGGTCGATAAAGGGCGACAGTTTGCTATAATAGAAACTGCGGCTCGTAACATATTCAGTCAACTCATTGTAAACCCCGACTCTCCCTTGCGATCCGCGCCTTGCGCTGACCAAAATAGGCGACAACCACCATCGATTCTCCCGACTACGTCAAGGTGTGGAACCTACTCGACATCTTGTCGATTCTTTCCGACGATGGGCAATGTGATCCTGCGCTATTGTTTTGGCTAGCAGAGGAACTACTGGACAGTCAAACTATTGCTGGATGTCGTAAGATCTTTGACTTCCTTGAATCGAGGAGAGAACGAATTACAGCAAACCATTTCAAACAAAAGCAATTGATTATTCTCCGAACATGCAACGAATTGTTGCGCCGACTATCTCGTGCAGAAGATACTGCTTTCTGTGGTCGCGTCTTCATCTTCATGTTCCAGAGCTTTCCGCTGGGCGACAAGAGTTCTGTGAACCTCCGAGGCGAATACCATGTCGAGAATGTCACGACCTACGAGGCGACACGAGCCGATGATGAATCCAAGATGGCTGTGGACGAGCCAGAAGAGCGACCAAAGGAGCAGGCAGAGTCAAAGTCCACACCCAAGTCAACCGATGTCAAAAAGGCAGGCAAGGAGAAGCCCCTATCGACAGACGAGCTTTATCCACTATTCTGGTCCCTTCAGGAATACTTCAGTCAACCCAAAAAGCTTTTTGAGACAACAAATCTGTCGTCTTTCAAGGAGGGTCTAGCTGCCACAATGAAAGTCTTTCAAACAGTGCACAACGATTCAAGACGAAGCCTAAAACGAAAACGAGAGAGTGGTGAAGAAGATGAGAGTTCCAGCACGTTCAATCCCAAATATCTCACTAGTAAAGATTTATTCGACTTGGAGGTATTGTCTCACAAACTCAGTCTGACTCGAGTTTAAGCTAACAACAACTGCAGATCAGTGATTTGTCTTTCCGTCGACATATCCTTGTGCAAGCTCTCATCATCATGGATTTCCTCATCTCACTATCCAGCCAAGCACGGGAGCGACTTACAGAAGCTCTTCCCGCCAATGCCAGCGTAAATAAGGCCGTTATGTACAGTGACCAAGTCTTAAGTGACGAAGACGTACGTTTATCAGGAACTGCGATCACAGCAGAGAGCGCTTCAGCTAATCATTTTTCAGGCTGAATGGGCTAGTGACATGAAAAAGACTATTGCGGACTATCTCCGCCAGGGTGCTGATGGTCCATACTTTTATCGAATGGTAGAAACCGTGCTGGCTAGAGACAAGAACTGGGTTCGCTGGAAGGTTGAAGGCTGTCATCCCATCAAACGAGACCCAGTCTCGCCGGCATCCTTTCTTGAGGCAAAGGCCAACGTTCAGAAAATGGCTACCAGTAAGCGGTTAAGGTCCGTCCCTATGGGCTCTGTCTCCCTGGACTTTCTCAAGGAAGAGGATGAAGAAACAGCAATGAGTCGACTCAAAGCCAAGGAGCGTTATGAGCTACCAGAGCTCGATACATTCAAACGTAAAATTGCCGATGACGATTTTGAGATCGAGATGCCAACAAACGACCAAACCAAAGCTGCTGCTATCGCTGGCAAGGCCAGCAAGAGCTGGAGAGCACTACGAATCGCAGCGCGCTCAAAACTTGCTGCGCTCGATAAGATTGAAGATCCCAAGAAGATTGATATCGTGTTCGAGGAGCTCACAGAAGTGGATGATACTGAAGACACTGCTGAGCCCACAGCAAATGACGAAGATATGCCCCCCAACCGAGAACCTATCATCATCTCTGGCATCACAGGCGTAGGCAAGTCAACCATCATCAGAAAGCTTATGGAAGTGCGAAAGGGGGTGTTCGCTCCTGTCGTCCGTCATACCACACGAGAGCCTGTTGAGGGTGAAGCCAACGGCAAGAGTTTCCACTTTGTCAAGCAACAAGAGTTCAACCAGCTACGTGATGGGGATCGCTTGATAGAATCAGGTACTCGGGATGGCGTCGATTACGGGACTAGTTCCAAGGCCATCGAGGCTATCTCAGAGAGTGGCAAAGTGCCAATAATCGAACTAGATCTCGAAGTAAGTCAAACATCCATGAAACCACGTATTTTACTGACAAGTTCCCTGTCAGGCTGCCAAATATGCCAAAGATATGGACTTCCAGGCACGCTACGTGCTCATTACGACCTCTACCCCTGAACTTCTCAAGCAGCGCCTTGAGGCTTCGGGCAAAGAAGAATCTGCCATTCAAGAGATCTCGAATAAACTTCCTACAGAGCTTGAGCCAGGTAAGATCGACGAGGTATTCGACACATCAATCGTCAACGACGATGACGTTGAAGCTGTCAAGGCTATTGGGAATTACATATATGGGGAGAGTGAGGGCGAGCAGGGCTTGAGTGAGGACACAGCTATGAAGGACGAGGAGGAAGATACCACCAAGGTCGCCGAGACAAAGGAGGCCACGATGACAGATGTATAATGCTGAGATGGAGTATGTCGAAATAATTGTGTGAGATATCTGTACTTGTAGACCAGGCTCAGGAGAACTGGCAATGGGCAAAGCAATATCCCCATATTTTGTGTGAACTAGTCTTCAATCACGAACACTTGCAGCACGATCTCTTGTACTCATCAAGAGGAAGATCACATCAAAAATATCAGGTTCCAGGCAAAAGACCAATAATAGAATTAAACTACCTGAGTATCAGAGAGCACAAACTGTACTGAGCTGTCGACATAGTGAATGCAACAATGCACCACAGAAGCCTGCCAGCAAAACACACAAGACACAGAGCAAATCAAGTATCACACGGGAAGAAAGACTACACGAATAGGGATTTCACTCCTCGTCAGAAGACTCCTCCGAATCAGCCTCGGCAAGCCAGGTCAAGAAAGGCTCAGCAGCCTTGCGAACCTTCTTAGAGGTGGAGATGTCGGTGTACTTCTTGCTAGCCTTGGATCCCCACTTGGTCACAACCTCCTCGCTGATCAAGTCATAATGGTAGTAGAGCTGGAGAATCTTGACGATAGACTGGAACATCTCGGGGTGGTCAGCGGCCAGAGTACCGACGAGACGTTCGGTTCCACCAAGAAGAGCCTTCTCGTGACGCTCAGAAGTAACAAACTGTGACATATTAGTACATGGGTGCTTCGTTAAAAACAGATTCGACATACCTGCTTGAGCATGCTAGCACGCTTGGGGATTTGAGCAACAATGTTCTTATCGAAGATGGTCTGGACAAGAACAAGAACACTACGATGCTTGCCTTCAATACCAAGCTCCTTGGCCTTGACATAGATGTCGATGGACTCGACCTTGTCGACGCTGCCCTTCTCTTCGGCCTGGGACTGAATCCAGTCACCAAGCTCATCGTAGACGGTGGGGCCACCCTCGCCTTCTTCATCATCATCATCGCCAATGTTGAGCTTCTGCTTGAACTCGCCTGGGAGAGAGGCCTGACGGGCCTTGACAGCTTCCTCGCTCATGTCAACAGCCCATTCATGCTCCTTGACTTCGTTCTCCTGAGCGGCTTCGGCGGCCTCAGCCGCAACCTTTTGAAACTCGTCGTCACTGCCAACGTCCTCGTCGCCGTTCTCGTTTGAGCCGTTCTCAGATGCCTCATCACTGCCAGCACCATTCTGACCGTTGGTGCCATTGGCAGCGTTGCCGTTCTGTCGAGCCTTCTTGGCAGCCCTACGCTCGGCCTTGTCCTTCTTGCCCTTCTTGGGCTGGTTCTTGAGGATAAAGCCACTGAGCTTCAGGCGGATGTCAACATCGGTACGCTGACCGCAGGCCTTGCAGTCAAGCAGGATACGATCATCCTTGATGACAACATCGGTCTCGGGGTTCTTGCATTTCTTGCAGAGGACGAACTTGTTGATAAAACCATCGAGGTGATCCTGAAGCTTGGGAGCATCGTGAGCACCGTTGATGATCCAACGGTCGTCTTTGGGATCAATATTGGTCTGAGCACCAAGCTCGAAACCAAAGTACTTGATGACATAAGAGCCAGGACGGGCAAGAGAGGCAGCAACGCTGCTCAGATTGACGACAACGGTCTTGATACCGTTTCCTTTACCTTCAATCTTGGTCTGCAGACGCTCCATCTTGTAACGATAGAAAGCATCGCTGACATCGCGGCGAACGTTGACGAGAGCCATGGTGACGGTATTGAGTGATTAGTGCTGTCTGAGAGATAAAGTTGACAGGGCAAGGCTGGTATGCGAGGCTAGTGGTTGATAGAGTCGTGAGATGACGAGGATGTCATGTATAGTCTTGGTAGCAGAAGATGACTTGAGGGTGGGCGGAGCAACGAAGGTTTCAGTGCTCTTGATGATTTTTGATTGACATGTGGCAGACCGGATGTATGATCGGATGCTGGTGGTAATGCATAGACGACAGTGGTGTCTCTAGATTTCAACCGTCGGAACTGATGTCGGGGCTACAAGGCTTTCGCGGTATGCGAAATAACTGCAGCTTGAAGAGGTGTCTGAAGACGGAGTGATGGTCGTGCTGATACATAAACAGCAGTGTGGTTCGGCGGATATATGTGTTCGGGAGGTCCGATTACGTAGGGAGCAAGCGAAGACCGGCGAAGATGGTGCTTCAAGGCCAACACTATAAACAATGCGAAGTTCGTGAGCCAAGTATGAGTGGTGGGTGGGGAAGTCAGGTAGGCGATGCGCGCTGCGACCGGAAGAGTCAACAGGCAAGTATGAGAGTGAAATGCGCTTGGCGCGATAGACTTAAGGGCGTTTGGTTGAGTTGAGTTGAGTTGAGTTTTGCTGTCTCGATGAGATGCAGAGTGTGATGTTGAGGAGAAGAAAAAAATGCGAAAGAGGAGCAACGAGGTGAGTTAAGAAGGATGAGGAAGGAGGGGCGATGTTAGGGCCGACCGGGATTTTTGTTTTTGGAAGCCCGGAGGGGACGCTAAAGAATGGGGCAGGCGGCAAAAAAACCTGACACAACCTCAGATTCAGTCAAGTCAACCAACATCAGAAGAACCAATACCTTTGATTTTGTGATGACAGCTGTCAGAGAATGGCCTAGATTTTAGTAGTACAGAGACCGTTTGAGACTGTGTTTGATACTGGTTCACCAACAAAGAAGTTACGAAGACTGATTTTTCCAAAGTTTAAAACGCTAGCAAGAAAACTTTAACTAAAAGCTGAGTGAGGTTCCAGTGGAGGTTTCACAGAATTCCAACAGTGACAGGCAGAACTTTCAGCACCTCACCTGGTTCGTAGCGCTCGTCCTAGGCAGTGATCCACTATTACACAACTCGCTTCGCGAGGCGGGGGAGTCTCTGTCGAGTCTGTCCCATGGGTGCCAAGCCCATCCAATATCGACTTTTCCTCACACTGTACACGTGCAAGTCAGGCCAGGCAACGCAACCTCCCACTTCACTCGCATCGATTTGAGTGATGGTTGGTTGGGTTGGATGCCTTGGAGTTCACGTTGTGATTGCGGGACGCAGTCGGAGAATGACAAATACAGCATCGGTGTGTTCGGATTTAAAATCCACAAACTCCAACTGACAAATGCAATTACGATCTGTTGTTTGGTTTTTGATTGTGAGTTTCTCTAACATAGGTATTGTCTCTACCCTTCAGCTGAAGTTGTTTGAACTTTTGATATCCCCTATCGCCGCGTTGCCGATCCCATCCTTGAATCTATGACAACTGCACTGTATTGGAGAAACCTGTCCTTGGCGTGTGTCCTAATCGCGATTCTGATGCCCAGATCAGTCTCCTAACTCATCACCAATGCTCATCAGCTCGTTGTCGTAGCCTCTGAACTATAATTCAGCCCTTCAAAGGCACGAATCTAAGGAGGCATCGCTTTCCGAGAGGTCGCGAGGAGATCAGTTGATCGTCCATCACCATAGATTCGCTCTTCATTGACTCATCCGGCCCAGTCTCGTATCGTGAATACACGTCTCGCAGCAGGGTCTTCATTTCCGCCATGGCAAGGCTACAACACGCATTAATATCTTCCCTCTTTACACTCAGCAGAGCTACTCACTGTTTTCCAATGCATCCTCTTCCTCCGCTGGAGAAGGCCCATTGATGTCTTCGTCGGTCGGCATCTCCTTCAGCTTCCAACCACCTTTCAGGGTAGAACTTGTCCGGCTCAGGGAAAACATGATCGTTGATTCGGTGAACTGAAAGGGCCTGGCAACTAACAACTGTCTTCTCGGGTAAGGAGAATCCATCAATGACACGGCCACCGTGGGGAACGTATCGAGGCAATGACATTGGAATCGCGGGGAAACATCTCAGTCCCTCGTTTAGTACGGCGTCTAGCATGGGCAACTCGTCAAAGTGGGCGTCAGGCTTGCTTCGAAACTCTTCTCGTAGAAGTCGTTGATACTTTATCGATCGGGGTTGTGAAAGTTCCCACATCAAGAAACAGAGAACGTCGCCGGTTGTATCGATGCCAGCGGCCATGTGATCGAGACACTCGGCAGCCATGTCGATAGTATCAAGGACGCTATCCTTCTCCTTGAGCCGGTTCAAGACGGTGAAATCTGCTGCACCATTTTCCTTGGCGTTTTCAATGACAAAGTTGTCGGCCAGGGGAATCAGTCGGGGTTTGGCAAAGCTAGTCAGAATGCTGGATCCAAGACGGTGAAGAATCGGGCTATAGTATTGAACCAGACGGTCTAAGTTCTCTTGTGAGCTCCAATGCGTGATCCTTGGGATACGTTAGCTTACTTTGAAGACTGTCATCGGCAGCAACTTGATGCATCATTTCTTCATCGTCCTTGTTCTGCAGGCAGTTGCTTCCATATGGGTGGAACAACTGGTGTGTAACACAATCACAAGCATATGCGTGCAACGCTGGTTTGGTCAGCTGTGTCTTTCTTGAATCGGGCTTGCCCCTTATAATCGGAACTAACCTCTCTATATCAGTTTGTTAGCATTCTCCTGAAAAAGCCTCGAACACTCAACTTACAAATACGTCTGCCGTCTTGTCAGGTGAGTCAGCACAGCGCTCAACAAACCTCTTGGAGCGTTCTTGTATCCCGGCCAGGGGGGCTTGCTTCATCACGTTACTGTTGGCATATCTATCGCCAATCATCCGCCGTCGTTTCGCATGCTGGTCAAAAATTCAGCTTGACTAAACATCACGGCTCCCAACTTGAACTTACATCGCCTTTAACCAGGGTTGAGAACATTGTTCTGCGAGGCACAGTCAGAACCAACATCTCACTCCTATAATGTGAGATCTTACCGCTTGCCGTAGACTTGAAAGAGGTCATAGAACTCGGTCTTGTCATATCCGCTACCACCGGAACCATAGATCTCTTTGAGAGCATCAATCGAAGTGAAGGAGACCTCATTAGGTGCGACCCTGACAACCGAGCCATATTTCTTATGAAGTTCGTGAATGTACACGGTACGGTTGGCGTTGAGTTCGTGCCATTTCAGTACAAGTGACGTGAAGTTGGATATAAAGGGACCGGGAACCTTTGCCGTAGCCGAAGTCAGGCGGATAATGATATGAGTAGCGAGAAGGAGAGCGCCAGCTCCAAGCATGAAGCTTGGTGATAGTATCAACATTATAACAACGTTGATATGTTTTGACTTGGATAATTGACGGTTACTTCTCTCAATTCATGAAGAGAAGGAGGGAGAGTTGGAGCCTACCATTGGCCGGCTAGATTGAGGTTCTTATCACGAGGCGTCTTAGATAGAAGCGCTCCGATATGACTCCAACTCCTCGGGTCCAAGCCCGAATTGCCTACTTCGTGTGGGGGGAATTGCTGCGTAACCGAAAGATAAGTCAGTTTATAACCAGTTACGCCCTTTGATCGTCTCTCTATTACATATCCGTATCTGGTTGTCGCGTCTTTGTCCCCCGTTGAGTAAGGTCATCTCCACATTCTGGGGATTCCCGTGTCCACTTGCTTTTGGGATCAATGATAACATCCATGTCAAATGGCCATCTACGAATCTTGACATTAGAAATGTTTCAATTTCTATACAAGTTCAACAACGATTTACATAGTACAACTTCTTCTTAATTCGTCCAACTGCTCATGCACGCCACTCGTTCTCTTCTACTGTACATGCAAACAACCAACGTTGAAACTTCCCCGTACTCCAAATCCCAACCCCGGCATTTATGCATATGACTCGACGCCCTATTTCATGTCATGAAGTTCAAACTACCGACTTCCGGACCTCTCACCCCTGCAAATCCCCGCATTCATGTTATCCAGGCAACTGGGTGATAGCATGGCAGAGATAAGATGTCCGTATAACTTCATAGCTCCGGCTTCTTATCACCGCCATGATTTTGACGGTTACCTCCCCCAAGCATGCCAGAGATCCAATTCAAGCCCGGAATCTGCATGGGAGCCGCGGGAGGAAATTCCTTGCCGCCAATCTTGGTTTTGGGAGTACAAGTACACCATTCAGCCTGTGGCACTCCATCGAAGACTTGTTGAAGGTGGTTACCGCATCCACGCCACGACTTCTTGGCTGTATAGTCTTTAATTAATATCTCGCAAACGCAACTGGCCTCGAGGCAATGACAGGAACTCACAGCATGTTGGGCAGGTCGCGCCAAAGCACATGATGGCAGGTTGTTCTGGTTCAGAGGTGGTAGTGAATGGTTAGTTGTTATATCACCTGCTTACAGGTTGGATCAGGTAACGTTTGTGTGAATATTCAAAACGGATGAGTTCTTGTAGAGCATTCAAGATTTTCTGAAGGTTCGGTTTTTTATACCAATGTCCTCGGACTCATTACGTGGGTTGGAAGCCGAATTATGAAAGATGAAGGTCATGGTCGCTGAATTAATTAATCACCAGCTTGGAGAATGATGGTTCACCTAATCAAGCCTACCCTAGATATAGACGTTGATATATGAGCCCGAGTTCCGTCAACTTATAAAATACGACGATGTACCATCAGGCGACGGTATCTGCAGCAGTATCATGCTCGCAGGTGGTTCTCATAAATAGATCCTTCATATTTGGAATTTGCCTTGGACACATGTCCACTTATAGGGTCTAGGTGTCACAATCTTGAGGCTTAAGGATCAGTCCTCAGGGAGCAAGAAAACTTAGGACCTCTATCCTAAGAGATAAAAAGATTTAGGTAGATTTAGTAGAGACTTAGAAAGCCTTTAGATCAGATGTTTTTATCAATTAGGATAAAGGTCCCAAATTTTCTTGCCTCCCCTAGATCAGTCTCAAACCAGATGGACCATACAAGGCAGGGTAGGCTGAAAAGAGACACCTTTTCCAAGTCATGGTAGCTCATCAGAACAGAGAAATTATAGATATCGACCACAGCCAGAAGTCGGATACTAACTCCTCATGAGAGACATGGCGAAATTCTTGTGCTGCCACACTCAACACTGGATCAGCACACCCCTGTTTGACAGGAAGCTTATGAGTTGCTATTCATAGTATCAAATTGCCAGGGTACGCACGGCTTGTGGGATGCACGGAGATTCAAATTTAAAGATGACCAGTTAAAAAGACTGGGTTGTAGAGCTCTCATGTGATAGCAATCGACATGATATAAGATGAATCAATGATAAGATATCCTGGATTCCCTTAGAGATATTAAAAGCGACATGACCGCCTTGGACTATATCAATCATCAGCAAGACAACCGGCAACATGCGGCATCGTCTTTCAACCGCAGGATCACATATTGGATCCCAGCCCGCAGACACAGCCTCCTTTCAACAAAATCAAGTGTCCACAAGGCCCGTCTGGGCGCCGTATTCCGCTCAAGAAACAAGGACTGACCAACACAACTTCTGACAAGGCTGATGAACCGCAAGTTAGAGGTGACCAAAGCTTGAAGTACTAGCTCTCATAGGAGGGCTTATTGCTGACATGTACGGGAAAGCTTGGAAGTGGACGAACTTGTGTAGAGGAGAAAAGACTCAACCAACGCGATGCTGACCATCCAAGGGTTGTAGTGCATATCGCCTACGCTAGTGGACAGCTGTTGATATTCCAGAATATGTCACCTGCAGTAGAGGAGATTGGCAGCTTTACATGGAACGTGCTAATGCTGCTGGAATCTTGGTCTTGGCCAATGTCCAATTGTCTCAACTGGAGTTGTCTTGTGCATGGTTCTATGCCAAGAGGTAACAAACCATCCGTTTAAAATGATCAGCCTTGGGTAACATGTTGTAACTTTCCGTTTCGCAATCCAGTTCAGGGTCTTCGTCATAAAATATAGGCCTGCCTGTCATCATACGAATGCAGCGCCACATGGTATAGTCAGTAGAGGCTGTGTTTTGAACGTAGACCTTGTCTTATTCGTGTCAACACCAGATGAACCCCATAGACACGAATGAATAGCATCGGCCGCGCAATTGATCAAGTTGATGGCTCGGAACACAACCCCAAAGACATATTAGCGAGTGGTACTGTATCCGCCTTATCACCCCTCTGCTACCCAATCTCTTCAGGGATCCATGGATGTTCGGTGTCCACGAGGTCTGCACCTAGGTAGCAAGTAAGGCACTGGACATCCACTACGGCCCATCCATGGCAGCGGGTTCAGTACGGGCACCCACCAAGACACAGGCAGGGCAGCTTGCGTCGTGTCCCGTCCCGTCCGATCGGTGCCCTCCATTAGTTTGCTTCTATAGGTCTAAGAAGTACCCTCCATAGGTTACTCTGATGTACTGCCCCCCCGATTTCGATAGGTAATCTACAGGACTTACCTTAGCTGGCATTGGATTCGTAGACTACCTAACTACTGGGCTCTGTCTCTCTCATCTTCCTCCCATATCTTCCGCCTGTTCCATTCTCTCCGACCTCAACACTCGCTGTGCGCGATTACCTCCTCCGAACTCCCTCCTCATCTGCCGTCCGCAACGACAATCGCAATCGCAGTATGAGGAACTTCCTCGGCAAGCACAGCAACCGGTCATCGCATGCGCTCAGTGAGCCGCGAAACTCGTCCAAGACGCCTGCGACTTCAACCCCGACGAACAACAGCCAGACTCCGACAGGCGGTAGTGCTGCGACACCTCAAGCGGCAGGCCACCAGCGTCAACCAAGCCACCAGGCTCAGCAGGATCAACACTATCAAGTCCAGCAGCACCAGCAACTCCTCGACGAGGCAGACTCAGCCTCCCACGGCGCCCACTTCGGCCACTCGCACTCGGTCGGTGCCAATGCCAACGCTGCCAGTGCCAGTCCTGGTGTCAGTGCTAATGCGAGCGCCAACAATCCTTCCAGCATAAACCCCCATTCAGCCTTGTCCTCGTCCCATAATACCGCCTTCAGCTCGAGCGAGTCCTTTGATTCACAACAGCCGCCTCCCCCCTCTCACTACCTGCAGAATCAACAGCCGCCGTTACATCTCCAACATCCCCAGCAGCAGCAACAACAGCAGCCTCAAGGTTCCTTACCGTTACTGCCCTCCCCCTCCTCCGCTTCCGTTGGCGCCCCTCCCCCGCCGCATCTTTATAGCTCGCCTTCAGCCGCCAGTAGCACAACCGGTGCTAACATTAATCAACATCCTCCTTCTTTACAGCAGCAGCAGAGTTCCAACCTTTCCAACGTTGCGTTTGATCCTCATCAACCGCAAAGCGAATTCAATGACCCGGGCCTGGGTCGTTCGCAGAGTATTCGTTATAGCGCTGCCACGCCTTACAACCTCCAGACCTCATCCGTAGAGGACCTGAACCGTTACGGCCAAATTCCACCCCAGCAGCTACAACAGCAACAGCAACAGCAGCAAGCACAGGCACAAGCACAGGCACAGGCACAGGCACAGGCACAGGCACAGGCACAGGCACAGGCACAGGCACAGGCACAGGCACAGGCACAAGCACAACAGCAAACAGCTCCTGCTGAGAAGCGCTCGACTCGAAAATTGATTAAGGGTATATTTTCTGGGTCCAATCGTGGGGCGTCTGACGGCCAGCACCACCATAGCATAAGCATCGGCCACAATAACAGCCAATCCTACGACAATACTGGCGGCCTTGCACGTCGGCCTTCCAAGCGGGTGAGCAATCCACCGCCTTTCTCTTCTGAATCGTTCCTTGTTTTTCTTGTTTCTCTAGTTCTATTCCTTGCCAGTTGTGAGCTGGAACCCCCAGTCTTCCTATCCTGTTTGTGCACTTGTCTCTTCCCCTCTCTCAGCCCAGCCCAACACCCCAATCTTACTCCCAATCTCACTCCGCCTACCTCTCTGTTCTACCTGTTACTCGGCATAGCATTCCGCCAGCCACAGCCGTCAAGCCCAGTCCAGAACTTGACCCAATCTCCTTTATCATCTCCAGCCCAATCCCAAGCCCCAGTCGTTAATTCTGGCTACTGTGCCGTACCATTTGCGTTAGCCGCCCTCGCCGCGTCCGCCAGCTCAAGCTGAGCTCCTCAGCAGGTCCAGCAGCTCCCCGAGAGTCAACATTCCCCTTTACCCCAGCTTTCGTCTCGTCAGGGTCTCGACGATATCAATGAACACTATACCGCGCATCAATCTAACCAGCCATCACCTTCACAGACTTCACGAATTTCGCTCCACAACACCATTCGCCAAGTTTCTGGTGAGGTAGACCAACAGCAACATCAGCAGCAGCAACAGCCTTACGAGGACGCCGCCTATCACCAGAACCAAAGCCAGGCCCCGCTACAGCAGCAGCACCAACAGCAGCCGCCGCAAACCCACGTTCAGGTACATACGGAGGACCAACAACCACAAAGCGGTTACGAGACGAACGTGTACGACCAGCAACAATCGCCTCTCAACCCACCACAGCATTCGCCTTCGCAACAGCCTTATCAGTTTTCAAACGCTCAACAGCAAGGCAACTATCACCAGGGTGGTAATCAAGGTGGAGATCTACGATCAGCTCCCGCACACTTAGGCCCCAGCGCACAGTTTCAGAACCCTGAAACAGTCTCTCAGTTCTCGCATGAATCGCCTATCGCCGACTCGGACCAGCGTTCGGCCAAACTGCAATCAGCAACCAACTCGCCTGCTGTGAACCACGCCCTGTATATACAGAATCAAGGTTCAACCCCGAGCCTCCCTCCTGCTCAACAGACAACTACTCAACCACAGCAACCCGGTATGGCACCACCTACCGGAGGACCTCCATCCGCGCGCCGTCCTGACTCCGATAAATTGCGTGGGCAGGCCGATGTCCCCGGTGGCCCGCCTCCCACTTACCGTCCCGCCAACTCTATGAACAACATGAACCCGCTACCTCCCGTGCCGCCGCAGTCGGCCGGGCAGTCACCGGCTTACCGTGGCGATCGCCCATCTCCGTATGATGGTCAAACCGTGGATCAAGGACGGGACAGCCCCCAGCCAGTATCTGCAGTCCCAGCTGAGGCTGGCGAAAACGACAAGTCTTTCAAGGACCTGTGTAAGTGCAATCTGGAAGAATCTCTACCTTGACGCAGTGAGGACAGGATACTGATTATTTGCAGTGACCAAATACAAGAACGTCAAGCGACTCTACTTTGATGGTAAGGGACAGATTGAGGCGCTCAATGGTCAAATCGTGCACCTCCAGAATGCAGTCGCCAACCAGCGCATGTCGCAATCGCGTACCGCCCTCGATGACAGTGAATACTCGACACGATTTAACCGACTCAATGGTGCCATTAACAACCTTTCGTTCAACATTCGAAAAGATTGGCGGTGTGTGCCGCAATGGCTTGACAAGTATGTCAGCACAGAAGCACTCAAGACCGGAAAGGCTGAGATGACAGCTATTGGACGCGCCGTCATCTCGCGGTGGATCATGGAGGAGGTGTTCAACAAATGTTTTCACCCTGGATTGGATGCGCAGCTAAGCCAGTCTCTCAAGGAGATTGAGCTGGGCATTCGAAGCAACACGCACACTTTGACTAGCCAGGAAGAGTTCGAAGCCTTGACGAACAAGATTGTGAGCTGGCGAATGACATCATTGGACGGTTTGCACCGACAGCTTAACTCACCAGCTGCGAACGACAATCGCAATGCATTTATCGCCAAGTCAACGACATCCCTGACAAACTGTCTTTACCAGTTCCTTTGCAACCCGCCACCACCTGGTGTGGATGGCAGCGCATCGATGATTGTGGAGCTTGCTGTGGGCATTGCAGCCAACCTCCCCCTGGAGAGTCGGGATGTGGCCATTACCTACCCGCTACCTGGAGAGATCGTCCAGCCGCATGTAATGGAAGTTGAAAAGGCGGCCTTGCCAGTCTTGGAGGCTCAGAAGGGAGAGGGAGATGGCGACGATAAGGACGGCGACGATGAAAAGAGCGGCAAAGCTAAGACTGGTACGTTGAATAATGCAGCCCCGCCCGAGAGCGGGGAGGGTAACGATGCTTCAAAGAGCACAAGGATGGATGCTGACAAGGTCACTTTTGTAGCGGCCCTGCCGAAGGACTCGAACAGGGTGCGATTTGCAGGATTTATGGCGTTGGAAGTACGAGGAAGACAAGTATTGATGAAGGCGCCTGTCTGGACTCTGTGAGGACAAGTGCTTTGAGTATATTAACTCTATCACGATGAAGCTCAGGGAAGTGAGAAACGAGCGCCATGTGTTGGGTGAATGGCGAGGCGACAGTAGATATCCGGAGAGAGAACGCGAGCCCGAGAGTTGACTGAGAGGTCAAAAGGGGTTGTGGCAACATGACCTGAACAGGGCAAGATGGGATAAAGGATTACGAATGGCATGATGATGGTTTTTTTTTTTTTAGGGATACTGGATGCGAACCCTTATTTTGTTCTGTGTACATAACATGTTACCATGAGATGAGCAGTTCATGATGCTGCAAGGATTTCCTATTGACATCTGGCTGCATATACAAATCTAGTTTAGAGTCATGAAAAGACTCTGAATCATGTTATCTGAGTACCTTATGATGAGGGTGCTTGATAGCAGATTATCTTGGCGTTGAGGGAGAGCCTGGAGTAGGATGATATAATCACTTACCGTATTTGGATTTGATGCGAGATGAGTCGAAGGGTCCAAGCTAGCTGCTAAGGTATCTAAGGACCTACCTTGAGGTACCTTACCTAAGGCTGAGTTCTACAAGGCTGATAGATCCTTGGAATAAGGTAGCTTCTGGAGCTGACAGAATTGGAAGTTGCTTAATAAACGGCCAAGGAGTCATTTCCACTTAGAAGAGTCATCCTGTAACAAATATACCTGGTTGATTTAAGCAGGGTCCTTTTTACCCGCTCAATCCATAGTGGCGAAGGTTCCTTAGCAAGTTGCTTCAGTGAGTCATCAGGTTAATTACTGTTTTCAGACGTTCTGAGGGCATTTTTAGTGACAAGTTTAGTTGCTGACTGCCTGAGCTCCACTATCTGATCCAGAGACCGCATTACATAAATAGCGGCGAGAGCTCCCCCGCCCCCAAAAAAAAAGAAGGAGGGGCAAGAAAGCAAAACCAACCAGGTGAAGAAAAAAAAAAACCTACGACGAGCATCCACTCTGCGATAACTTCAATCTTCAACTACACCAAACCTCCAAAATTCTAGACTCTACGACTTGCGCGACCCAGAACACTTCAGCAATCATGGCCGTTCGCGCTCAATTTGAGAACTCTAACGAGTATGTCATCTTCCTTGTCTTTTCTTCTGGTGATTGAAGCTCCCTGTGCCTCAAGAACCCCGCCCCCGCCTTTCTCATGCGGCGCATATCTAGATGGATGATATGCTTTGCTGTACAATGATATGAGATTGAAAGATCAGAACTTATTACTAACCTGTAATTTCTAGGGTCGGTGTCTTTTCCACCTTGACCAACTCTTATGCCCTCGTGGCCCTCGGTGCTAGTGAGAACTTCTACAGGTGAATCAAATCCTCTTACCTATCTTGACTACGAGTTTCATACTGACAGTTTCCAGTGTCTTCGAAGCCGAGCTCCAAGATATCATTCCTACTGTGCGAACCACCATCGCTGGTACCCGTATCATTGGCCGCATGACCGCTGGCAACCGAAAGGGTCTTCTCGTTCCCACGACCACAACCGACCAGGAGCTGCAGCACTTGAGAAATTCACTTCCCGATTCAGTCCGTATCCAGCGCATCGAGGAGCGATTGTCAGCCCTCGGAAACGTCATCGTCACAAACGATCACATCGCCCTCGTGCACCCTGACTTGGAACGCGAAACAGAAGAGATTATTGCAGATGTCCTCGGCGTGGAAGTATTCCGTCAGACTGTCGCAGACAATGTTCTGGTGGGCAGCTACATGAGCTTGTCTAACCAGGGTGGTCTCGTGCATCCCAAGACTCCTATCCAAGATCAGGACGAGCTGTCCAGCTTGCTCCAGGTTCCTCTCGTCGCCGGTAGTGTCAACCGTGGTTCTAACGTCGTAGGCGCTGGTATGGTCGTCAACGACTGGCTCGCTGTGACTGGCCTCGACACCACTGCCACTGAGCTTAGCGTTATCGAGAGTGTGTTCCGTCTCGGCGAGGGCCAGGGCCCCAGCAACATCAACACGAGCATGAAGGACACCATGGTCGAGTCTTTCTACTAAGCTTGACATGATTTATGGTTCTGTTTTTCACATACATACATACATACACACATATTTCTTATGGGGCTTTGCTGCTACGTTACTCTTCCGGTTATTGATTGGACGAGTGGAAACCATCGTCACGACAAGACGAACGAACTTTTAACTTATACGGGGCCTGGTGTTTGGAAACTTGCATGATTTTGCGGTGCGGTTGATATCTGGAATAAGGTATTCATGATCATGATGATCGAATGATAAAGACTCATACAGGGACGGCTATCGGCTATTCCTCTCATGGATGGAAAAGGATTATGTGGTGCTCAAGGCCAGAGTGGGGATAGCCCTGCTGGTTTACATGACCCATCCATCTGATTTGACCTGCTTGGGCTCTGGGATTACTGTTGCAGCAGACTATACCTTTGCAGCAGGTTTTCACATTGTTGCACATGTTATGTTCCAGATAGACCTGGCAATGGGTGGCTGAGGTCATCCATTACATCTCAAGAGCTTGAGGCCATCTTAGAACCAATTCACAGTACCTGATGATCAACCGACTCTACCAAGTTTATCAGCAATTTCTGCCTGTATATGACTATATATCCTCAAAGTATGAGCTTGAAACTTAAGAAATGTCCTCGAGAACTATAGTTCTTAGGCTTTGCCTTACTATTAAGCTCTTCTTAAAAACTCTGTGATATATCTAATGGATTTTGAACACATTAATTCTGTATAAACCGCAAATTTGTGACAGATGTCTCCAGATACATTAGAGGTAAGCTGTTTGAGAAGATGCCTGCACCTATTTAGCACATAAAATTGAAAAGCTTGTCTGTATATATTTGTTTCTAAACTCTCATGCTCGGTCTATTACTGCCTCTCAATCATCCTATCAATATCCTTCAATATTCTAGCAGCCACCCCAAAATACGCTTTAACGTATGTATGCTTCAGGCTACTGACTTTAATTTTTGTAATAGTAAGCCACTATTTTGAGGATCTACGACATGAATCGAGAGAATACTTGCGCATGCTGCCACTTCAGTGACTGAGTCACCGCGTAACTACTGTCGAATTGCGCAGCATACCTCTTCAAGAATAATAAGACGAGTTAACAATCCAAAGCTGTGCTTGATAATAATCAAGTACAAGGGGCTACCACCTATAGTAGGCTACTGAAGGTAGTGTTAATTGAAGAATTACCCCACCTTCACCGCCTGCTCCTTTTGGACATTTCTTCAATACCCCCACCACAAAATATACCATCATCACTGTCACTGTCAATGGATCAATGATTCTGAATAGCTTCATTCCTCTCGAAACCCAAATCACTTCCTTTACAATGTCCTCAAACGAAAAGCCCCAACATCTTGAGCCCTCAAAGCTTGGCACAAAACAATAGTACCATCTCCCTCCATCTGCCTCTCACAAACCGCAGACTAACACTCTGCCTCCACAGCTGGGATGACCTTTACACAAATGAGATAACAAACCACGCTGCTGATCCCTCCGACATCGGAACTGTTTGGTTTGACGATTCAGATGCTGAAGCAAAGATCCTTGAGTTCCTAGACGGTCTGCTCGACCCCTCTGACCCAGACTCGCCTGTCCTCTCCCACGACACCACCACATTTCTCGATCTTGGCTGCGGCAACGGCTCTCTTCTCTTCTCCCTCCGCGGAGAGGATTGGTCTGCACGAGCTCTCGGTGTGGACTACAGCCCCCAAAGCATTGCACTCGCGCGACAAATCACCACCACAAAAGGCGACCTTGAGAAACCTGTCGAATTCGAAGAGTGGGATCTTATAGCTGGGCCATACGACCCTGTTCTCAACGGTGAGCAGACTGAGGGCTGGGATGTGGTACTGGATAAGGGTACCTTCGATGCCATCTCTTTAAGCGACGAGAAAGATGTCCAAGGACGACGACTATGTGAATGTTACCGAGAACGAGTGTTACCCCTTGTTCGAAAGGGCGGCATCTTCTTGGTGACAAGTTGCAACTGGACCGAGACGGAGTTGAGAGGCTGGTTCGAAAAGACCAGCGAGGAAGGTTTTGAAATCGTTGGCAGAGTCGAATATCGCTCCTTCAGCTTTGGAGGCCACAAAGGCCAAACAATCAGTACGCTCTGCTTTCGCAGGGTATAGGAGACATAGATGGAGTATATTTTGAAGAACAAAAAAGGATACCCATGATCACTCTGTGCTGGCTCCAGCACCTGTTCTAAAGAGCCAATATCATTCACCTCCGAGAGCTCTTGTTGTATCATACAATGGTATTTGGACTCGTGTCAATGCTTGGACTATCCCTCTCAGACTCCCCTCCCTTTTCATGACCCCAAAGCTTTATCTGAGTGTCTCTTTACCCTTTTCAGAGGTTCCGCATCAAGCTTTTTTGTATCGTATCCTTTGCAGAACATTCCCCTTTCTCAACTTAACTCAACTCAGCGCAACAATGTCCAGCTCCAACTAGTGGCTTCTAATATGCAACGTACGACTTCATAGGCTTCTGTTTGTCTTTCTCTCTTTCTGTAGCGATATGGACGGGACAAAACAAAAGCAGACAAAATCTGTCTCGACAATGATTATTGCTTCATTACGTCTCTCATCTATGGCGATGTATTCATAGGCTCCCCGCCAGCAATGGGTCCCGAGATCTCGGCAGCTGCTGTCGTCGCAAAATATCGCACATCCACGTCGTCGTCCTTTTGCAACTTCTCCAGGTTAGGAACAACTCGTTGTTGGATCAGCTCCGAGCCCCGAGGCGACGGTGTGATCTCACTGCCCTGCTTCTCCAAATCATACAGGGTACCCTCGTCAGGCAGACGTCGAAGCACATTGATCAGGACGCGGTATGTCTTGGCCACGTTGAAGCGGATGTTGGGGATATCGTCAGTGACCAGCTTGTCGAGCATAGGGAGGATCGACTTGGCAATCACATCCATGCTCACAACGCTCGCCAATGTCTGTAAATGAGTCAGTTTGGATTCCCAGTTTCAAACAAGGGCAATAATCACCGAAATAGCAAAGCAGGTGGTCATCCTGTAAAGGTAGTTAGGGTGGTTACCCATAGCCATAACCTTGGGGATGATAGCTTCGCTGGCCCACTCAACACCAAAGACCTCAGTGAGCTTCTTCAGGTTGTGAGTAGCGGCTTCACGGATAGAGAAAACAGTATCTCCTAACCAGCCCATGCACAAATTGCTGAGCTTCTCGTCGAAGAACTGAACGCCCAGTTGACTGGCGAGGAGGGGGATGTACTCGATAATCGCAAGTCGTACTCGCCATTGCTTATCCTCAGCGAGTTGTACAATTGCGGGAAGGAGTGACTGTGAGAGAAGGTCGATACCAATGACTGCATCATATCAGCTTCATATCATATACAATGAGTTCTGTGACTGACCTTGGTTCACGAGCTCAAGCTTGGAGATGATATGGAGCCTAACTTCCGGGAACTCGTCCTTAAGCATCTGGAGGAACATGGGGAGAAGGTGGTCGATAGTTCTAAGAAATAAATTAGAATCGAGTGCCCGGTTCGCAAAGACTAGTTGACGTACTCTTGCTTTCCAAGGATAGGAGCCAAGCCACTGATCTGAGTACCAAGCGCAGCACGGACATGCTGGGATGTGTCCGAAACAAGATCCTCAATGCTGCCCATGATGTCGTTGAGGAGCACGTTACGATCCACGAGAGCACAGAAGCCGGGAATCTGGCCAGCAATAGCGGTTCGCACCTCGGCCTCGTTGTCCTTGAGAAGTTTTACGAATGCAGGAACGAGGTCTCTAGAAACGACCTCCTCGTCTACCGCCTTAGCAATCTGTAAAAATTAGCATCGGCAATGATAATGAAAATTGGCAGGTATTATGAACCTTCTCAAATCGATCCGCGATCATGTATCGGACTCTCCAACTCTTGTCCTCTATCAAATTGCGCAGAGCTGTCAGCAAGACACCATGGCTGGCCTGTTGCTCTTTGGGAACGGCTTCGGCAATAGAGATGAGAACCTCGACTGTAAGTAATCGGACGCTATCCTGATCATCTTGTGCGAGGTGTTGGAAGAGGGGTATCATTTCGTCAACAACGATGGTGGCGGGCATCTCCTTGACAAACTTGGCGAGATTGGTGGCAGCCTGGCGACGGACCATGGGTGTCTCATCGTGAACCAGCAGGCCAAACTGCTGGCGCAGCTGCTCTTGAACGGGTGGGGAGACTTTGTTGTAAGGAGTTGTGAAGAGGCCGCATCCCGAAACCTTTGATGTGAACCAATCGGCCTTGGCGAGGCGAATTGTGAGGGGAATGAAATATTCCTCGACTTGTTGGGATGAAAGCTCGGTGCAAATCTTGTTCAGGGACTCGACGGCCTGTGTGGACAGTCAGCGTCGGGAAGGACGATTTTTTAAATATATATTTTTTTTAATAAAAAAAAAACGCATGTTCATTTACCTTGTCGCGAACAACGGGCTCCTCGATAGAAGCGAGGTTCTCGAGGGGAGACAGCAGAACGTGACCCCACTGGGAACCGCCGACATACTCGACAAAGCCGCCAAGCTCCTCGCTCAGGGCAACAAGGACCTCATCTTCATCCTCCACGGACTCTGTATGGTATCAAGGTTAGGAGACGTCTTTGCTTTTAAATCGCATATTGGTAAGCGGGAGAGCTAATCGAAGACTGACCATCGAGGAAGGGGATAAGCTCCTCACGGGTTCGTTCAGCGCCGAGAGCGAGAGCAATGGTCGAGAGACGGTGGATGGCGTTGAGACGGAGTAAAACATCATCGTGCTGGAGAGGAATCGAGCGTCAGTAATGAACGTCTGATTGTTCGCTTCTTGGCGATAAGACAACCACGCAGGAAGTGAAAGCGTTGGGATGTAGCGTGGCGTCACCGCCAAACCTAGCATACCTTCAGCTCGTCAATAAGGACGGCGATAGGGTACAGCTCATCGCCAGAGTTGGGCGCGTCAGCCATGGCGAGCGGGGCGGTAAGATCGCAGGGTTATCAAGAAAATGAGTGACAGCGTCCGAGGTAAGTCGAGATGATCGTTAGGAGGGAGGGAGAGGAAGGTTGGCGGTTGCGGGTGGATCGCGTGTGGTAGTGGTAGTGGTAGTGGTGCTGTGCTGGTGGGTGATGCAATGATTTGCGCTGAGGAGTCCCAACACACGATTTTTGGCTGCAAGACGAGGGCCACAGACGAGGTCACGCAGGGGGATAAGAGCTGTGAGATACGCTCAGCGCAGAGAGAATGGGTTCCTAATGATGCAGAGCCAAAGGGCAAAGTCGTGGCCTAAATCAGCTAGGTCGTCGAGGTTTGAGATGTGGACATGTGAATCGATAGATGAGGGAGGGAGAAGAGGGTGGATGTGGAGAGGCAGCTGGATGTTTGTCTCTCGCTGGCTGGCCAGTGGAGGTGAGCGAGGCTGGTGCAGCAGTGTTGCTTCATTTCACTTCAGTGCTGCGTTGTTCAGTGACCGATGCCCTGTTAGGAACGGTGCCTTGGAGAGGGGCAACCGCCCAATGCCCCGGGTGAACAGCCCAGACAGCTCTGGATGGTAGCTGAGATGTGGCTGAAGTGGGGTCAAAGTGGCTCCTCATTTCCCTGAGAACATGGATTTTTGAGGGGCAAGCTCTTTTCAGTCTCACCTTCGGTCAGGGCGCTTCAGGTACATTGTGGCTTGAATCTGGGGATGACAATAATATTTGAAGCCAAGACTGAGACCAGAATTGATATCGTCTTTACCAACGTCCAAAAGCGTATTTACGGTTCACGCGGGACGGGTATGGGCATAAAACTTAAACCTTCTGAGGATGTATCAGGTCTGTAGGATCGCATCCGACGTCACTCTCATATCTGATCAAGCCTTGAAATCTCGAGCTTCATGCCCCGCCACTCCCAGCTCAGTGCAGACATCATTGTACATATATTTGATGTTTGGGAATTTGGCTGCGAGGTAGCTAATGGCCTTGACAAATTCTCGATGCAACAATACATTGTTTCAGAGCTGTTCGAGCTTGATAACCTCGAGTTCTGGTTAATAAAGCCGTACAGACAAGATGATCGTTCATGATTGAAGGTAAGAGGTGTAATTGACCAGATAAACTGCCAGTTCTTGTAATGCCAACGAGTTGGCATAAGGTATTGAAAAGTTGCTGCAAGCTTGCTTCTTGTCATTATCGTACCTGACCGTTTGTCGGGAATGGAGCATAAATAGTCCGTCACTCTACCCCGCCAAACCCCATCCGCTAGAGGGGTACCATCGCAGCGCACTATAGCCCTGCGTGTTCCCGAGTACCCGAGTATCACATCGTCGCATGCAACCCGAACTACATCCCCAAAATTTCCTGTGACTCAGTGCAATCCACGCCCAAATCCACGTCCAACGCTCGACGGAAGTCTCACCTTCGCCTCTGATTCTTCGGAAAAAGGATATTTCACCGAACCAGGCTCGAGGCTCCGCTTCATCATGCCTACCATTTCCGTCGACAAGTACAAGCTTTACGAAGCCCTCGGTCAAAAGTGCGAATGCCCCTCCTTGTTCATACCCCCACCATGAGCCCTCCGACTTCGCGCCCAAGGTCTATATACGTGTGCTGACAGGTCTTCTTCCTCCTAAAACAGATTCACGACCGAGGAGTTTGAGGACCTTTGCTTCGAGTTCGGTATCGAGCTTGACGAGGATACTGAGAATGATGAGCGTCCCATTGTAAACGGTGAACAGGAGCCTCCTCAGCTCAAGATTGAGATTCCCGCCAACCGATATGATATGCTCTGCTTCGAGGGTATCGTCACCAATCTCAACATCTTCCGTGGCCGCATTGAGCCTCCCAAATACCGTATAGTCGAGCCCGCAAGCGGCAAGCTTGAGTCAATCACCGTCAAGCCCGAAGCCGAGCAGGTCCGGCCATATGTCTCTGGCGCTATCCTTCGCAATATCAAGTTCGACAAGAGCCGGTACGAGTCCTTCATCTCTCTACAAGACAAGCTTCACCAGAATCTTGCTCGAAACCGAACACTTGTTTCCATTGGTACCCACGATTATGATACTATCAAAGGTCCCTTCACCTACGAGGCTCTCCCTCCCAAGGATATAAAGTTCATCCCCTTGAACCAAACCAAGGAGATGGACTCTGCTGAGTTGATGAACTTCTATGAGAACGACAAGAACCTGGGCCGCTTCCTCCACATCATTCGCGACTCACCAGTCTACCCTGCGATCTACGACTCCAACCGCATTGTTTGTTCCCTTCCTCCAATCATCAACGGTGACCACTCCAAGATTACACTTGACACCACCAACGTTTTCATTGAGATCACTGCCACCGACATCACTAAACTTGACATTGTCACCGATATCATGGTTACCATGTTCTCCATGTACTGCTCTGAGCCCTTCACCGTGGAGCCCGTCCAGATCAACTCCGACCACAACAACCAAACACGGGTCACTCCTAACCTGAAGCCCAGAGTCGCTGAGGTTGAAATCGATTACCTCAACAGCTGCACCGGCCTCACTGAGTCTCCCGAGAGCCTGTGCAAGCTTCTGTCCAAGATGTCTTACACCTCTACTCCTTCAACAAAAGATTCCAACATCCTCGAGGTTGCTATTCCCCCAACCCGAGCTGATGTCCTCCATCAATGTGACGTGATGGAAGATCTTGCCGTGTGCTACGGATACAACAACCTTCCTCGTACTGCTCCTTCACGAAGTGCTACTGTTGGTGCTCCCCTGCTTGTCAACAAGCTCAGTGATATTATCCGAATCGAAGCCGCTGTTGCTGGCTGGAGTGAGGTTATGCCCCTGATCTTGTGCAGTCACGATGAGAACTTCGCTTGGCTGAACCGCAAGGATGACGGAAACACCGTCGTACGCCTGGCCAATCCCAAGACCGCTGAGTATCAGGTTGTGCGATCAACTCTCCTACCTGGTCTTCTCAAGACCATCCGCGAGAACAAGGGCCACAGTGTGCCTATGAAGATCTTCGAGGTCTCTGACGTCGTCTTCAAGGATGAGTCTCAAGAACGTAAGGCTCGCAATGAGCGACATTTCGCCGCCGCCTGGTACGGCCGAACAAGCGGTTTCGAGGTGGTCCACGGCCTTCTTGATCGTGTTCTCCTAATGCTTCGAACTGCTTTCCTCACCCACGAGGAGGGTCTCTCTGGCAAGAGTGTCGACTTTGAGGTGAAGGAGAACCCCAGCAAGCCCGATGGCTACTGGATTGAGGAGCTTGACGATGCCACCTTTTTCGCTGGCCATGCTGCTTCCGTGTACCTCCGTCTTGGTGGAAAGGAAAGACGCATTGGCGAATTCGGTATCTTGCACCCTACCGTGTTGGAGAAGTTTGATTTGAAGTGAGCCCCTATTCCGACCAGTATCGACTTGACATCACTAACATATTCATAGATACCCTGTCAGCACTCTCGAGATCAATCTCGAGGTCTTCCTGTAACGTCAAAGAAATCCAAAGAAAACCTGTAGCATGAGGGTTAGAGAAGCAAAAATGGGCAAAAGACACGCAACGAAATCAAGTAGATATGATTCAATGTGAACAAACACGTTTCCATAACTAGGATGACGTTACGAGATAGACAAAAATAAAGACGAAATTATACAAAGCCGAATGTTGAACTCATGAGTTAATCAAGGAGTTTGATTTGGTACACTCTATAACTACCTAATTAACGGAGTCATGAAGGAGTCTATCACTGTCTAAGCTCTCGCCGTGTACCGCGTAATTGGCGCAAAATTATAATGTCATCACCACTCAAGTTAAACGCCAGAGCCGGCTCATGATACTGCCTCTAACGCCAACAAAAACTCCCGCACGTGTAATTAGGAAGCCAAGTGAGAACTCAGACATCATGAGTCCGAATGCTATGCTTACATCTCGGACATTGGCATCGCACGCCTCTGTCCATCAGATTTGAGCAGGGCTGTCTCAAGCCTTGCCGCAGGGTTTGGCATTTCAATAGTTGGAGAGTGACACGGCGTCGACAGGTCCACATCGGGCTGGAAGTTATCAATGGAGTTGAGTCTCGGACGAAAGCCCAAAGAGTCGGAGTCGCGCCGTTTGATATACTCCCACTCTCCACTGAGATCGCTGGGTACACTGTAGAAGCTGCAGCGCCCAAGGGTTGACGGTGCGTCAGACTCTGTTGTCAGAAGCGGCGGTGCTACCGGCGGGTGTAGCCAGGAACAACAGTGTCGCACGGATTCATGGGTCTCGACGATCAAGTAAGGGCCAGGATCCGACTCTGGAAACATGACCTTCTATGTCATCTCACGCAGCTCCTGGTCGCTACGAGCTGGCGCGGAAGCCGAACTTAACGACGACGCTGACTCGCCAGTATTTGTAAATTGCCCCAGCATTCCCTTGCCTAGGTTGAGACCTGCAATTCCATCCCTGATAACGGCAAAGGCGTTACCGCCTGGTTCGGTAGATGTGCTCCGTTCGATTGGTGTATGTCGTGATTCAGGGGTGAGCGTCTCGTGGGCAGTCTCAACTCCAGTGAGAACTGAGGGTGGCCCTGACTTGGAGCTTGAAGTGGATGACCGAGGATCGGCATCTGCTTGAATAACACTAGGATACTGTAGATTCGATATGGCGGTTTGACGGTCTGTCTCTGCTGCTGCTGCGGCGTTCAAACCGCCGTTCATCTCATCCTCAGTTCTTCCGAACAACTGATGCCACCATCTTATCTCCTTCAGTCGCGGTAACAGGATTCGCTCCTGCCCCTTGACGTGATCGTCGATACTGGCGTCGAAATCGGGGTTTGTGAACTCGGCTCGCCGACATAGGAAGTAGTCCCAAACTGAAGACGTGCGCTCTGCAGCTCGCGCATCTTTTCTCTGCTTCTCCGAGTTAAAGAGGAAAGTGCCGTATTGGCACGAGTACAGGTGGTATAAAAGGCGACGCAGGAAGCGCTCGTTATACTCAAAACGAGTCTTGTTTTGGCGTAGAAGTTGATAAGTGCAGTCAAGGAACTGATGGAAGACAGGACTGACCATCTTCGGAGAGGTAGCTTCATCGTCAACAACCTTTCCAGGAGCTGTTTCACTAACTGCAGCCAGGTCGGGATCATCTTTGTTCTGGTTGAAGAAACGCTTCGCACCA